TCACCGTTTCCGGAAGTGAAGCGTTCGAAAGCTGCCATGGCCCCGCGTCCGGAGAAAGTGTCCGCCTGTAGCACTAAAGCGTCCCGCAGCGCTGCGTAGCCGCACAGCACCACTGCAGGGCGCAGGCCCAGCCGCACCGTGAACACCGGGCCCCAGCGGCCGGAGAGCTAGGGGGAGCCGGTGCTCAGCGGACCCCTGTCCCGGCTCCAGGCCGCTCCAGGGAGACCTGAGAACCTCTGCCCCAAGCTCCGTCCTCCGTTAGACCAGCAATCCCCGTCTCATTTCCTCATTCCTCGGGTCTGGGAGTTCGGATCCCCAGCTCTTTCCTCCCTCAGACCCAGGTGTCCAGCCCCTCACCTCCCTCTTCCTTCAGGACCCAGAAGGCCAGGCCCCCAGTGCCCTGCGCCTTCAGTACTTCTAGGCCCTCAGCACTCTTCCTCCCCATCTTGAACCTGGAGAACCAACTGTTCCCTTTGTCAACCTTCCCTGTCCCCACCTGATGTCCTGCCTTAGGTCCCTCTTCCTCCCTCACGACCCAGGTGCCCAAGCCCCTAGCTTCCCACTCCACAGCCTGCCTCTTTCCTGTAACTCAGGCCTCCCCACTCCTTCTTCTTCAGCTGCTTCCATTCAGGGAACCAGGAGTTCTAGCTCCTAGCCTCACCTCAAGAAGTCCAGAAATCTGTTCTCCCACCCACTATCCAGGCTACCTCCATGAGCACACGGTCCATGCGTCTGGATTCCAGCTGCAGCAAGTTCCCCAACAATGGGAGTGGTGTGGGCCCTGGGGGTAGAGCCCCCCGAGTTCCAGTGCTGTGCGCACCCCAACCCCACCATGCCAGCGCCAGCACCAGGAGAGACAGCAGCACTGAGATGCTGGTTATCATGCCTGCAGTCCTCGAAGCCTGATCCTCGAGGCTCCTGTCTCTTCACCTCTATTTTATTTCCTTGAAGTCCTGGGTGGAGCAGGGGCGGGCACTCGGGGTGGGAGGAATGGGCATCTGAGGACTGCTCATTCCATGGATTCCCCAACCCAAGGTCTCCACCTCACCCTTCAGTCTTGGCGCTGCTGTGCCCTGGCTCTCACTGGCATGTGTGTGTGTGTGTGTGTGTGTGTGTGAGAGAGAGAGAGAGAGAGACACGCCTGTCTCACCTTGTCTTATTTGGCAACTTTCATGCACCAACATTTCTTTGTCTGCACCTGGCCACCAGATGCACTTCCTGAGCCCTAGCATCTTTGGACTCATCTTACCTGGCCTGTAGGTGCGTATTCCTCAGTCCTCTCACCACCTCTGGGCCAGATGCTCCCTAAATGCTGTGTTCTGTCCCTCCAATTCCTAAATACCCTCTTGACCTCTAAAAGTATTTCTAAAAGTGTCCATGGTGACATGCCCATTGAACTGGCATTATTCTTAGGGACTTGCTCTTGAAAGAGTGTATGCTGTCCCTGTCCTCTAGAGATGCTCCCTCGAATCCCTAGCCTCCTAAAGCCATCAGCCTGACACTTCTGGACCTATCCTTATGACTTCTGGGTGCCTTCCCACATGTCAGTCCCTTGTGCCTATGCACATAGGCCCTGCCCCAAACTCTCGTCATCTCGTCACAAAGCTCTGGCTTCCAGATATCCCCAAGTGTCTTGGACCCATGCTGCTGTGCTCTCTGGTCTCCAGTTCCCCAAGCCCCTCAGTGGGCACTACTATCTGAGGCCAGGATATGACGGCAGACAAACGCACCCCCCCCCATCCTAGGGGTACCAGCCAGAGGGGCACACTCAGGCATGGATGGGCAGGGGTGAGGTGGTGTGGTTGTGGGGAGTGGGAGGTGGGGCTGAGTCAAGCACTGGTATTAACTGTTTAGGAATGCAGCCCACCCTCTAGCCTGTCCCTCCCTTCCTCCAGATGCAGAGCACAGGGCCCAGACCTGGGGAGAAGAGAGGAGAGTGTGCGGAGTCTGGGACTGAAGTTGTCTCTGGGAGTCTTGGCAGTGTCTCTGTCTATCTTTGTCTCGTCTCTCAATTTCTCCTTTTCTCTCTCTCTCTCTCTTTTTTTTTTTTTGGAGAGGTTTTCGCTACAGGGCGCGTGCACTTGACATAGACACAGAAAGCGAGAAATCACCCCCCAGGGGGGATGGTCATGCCACAGTCCCTTCTCCTCCATTCTCCTCTCGGGATCTTGGGCACACACGTGTGTACACGCACCTGGCGTGAATTTTAAGTCACTGGGTCTGGGATGCGAACCGTGGTCGACTACGTGGGAGTCCAGCGACATAGCCATTACGCTAACTCTGGTTCCCTCTCTTTTTCTCTTGGTCTCTATGCTTCTCTGTTCATCTGTTTCTTTTCTTCCTTCCCATCCTTCTATTTCTTTCCATCTGTTTTTCTTTCAGCCTTTGCCTCAGCTTAGGTCTGTTTTCTGTCTCTCTGCTTCTTTACCATCTCTCTTGCCTTAATCTCGAGACTCTGTTCTTCTCTGTCTGTCTCTGCCTTGGGTCTTTCTACCTGTCAGCCTTTCTCAGTTCAGAAGCCTGGTGACCGGCAGGGATTGCAGGACAGGCCCCTGGTTTGGAGCCTTCTGCTAAATTGGGGTTCTAGTACCAGAAAGTACCAGCTAGTGGCCCTGTTGCTGGTGTTTACTCTGTGTCTCTTTGGAATGCTTCTTTTACCTGACAGATGGCGTGATGCCTAGTTGCCCAACCTGTGATGGGGGTCGCTCCCGTGGGAAACCTATTTATATTAGCAGATATCCTGGTGGTTCTTATCTGGCCCATGTCCAGTTTATTACCTGCCCAACCCTCTCTCTGCTACTGAAAGGCTGATTTTGTGTTCTTTCTGCATCCTGGGAAACCCCAGCCTGGGGCAGCCCTGCCTCCTCAGATGGAATGTGCAAATTCAGTACACCACCATGGCAGGACACGCGTGCGAAGGTGTTCACTTAGTGATCCTGGGCAAGGAGGGTGTAATGAGTCCAGAGGGCAGTCCTCTGTCCCTGGGTCAGAGAGGGAGAAATAGAGTCAGGTGGAGGGAGAGAGAACTAGCAGTATATATAGGAGAACTCGGTGTGCATACTGTAAGTTTTAAGTTTGCTGGCAAATGCCTGAATGGTTATTTTAAAGGGTTATTTTATTTGAACTTTATTTATCGTTATTATTTTCCAATTTGACCAGAGAAAGAGAGAGAGGAAGTGAGAAAGGAAGCCACCAGGTCCAGGACTTGAACCATGGTTGGTCACGTGGGAATCCAGCGCTTTTAACCACCACGCCACCTGCTGGCCCCTGCCTGAATGGTTTAAAGGAAGCAGCAGGAGGACAAGCTCAGTGGGGCTAGATCCCACATGGTGACCACAATTGGAATCCCAGCCTAGTCAGCCTGAACACTTGCCAGCAGACTGGTGGCGTGGAGGAAGGTGATTGTGGCATGACCAGCCCCTGTGGAGGCTGCTCTCTCATGAGTGTCACGAAGCAGGCTGGCCCCGTGACCTTGTAGCTAAAGGAGCTGGATTCCACGTGGTCAGTCACAATTTAAATCCTGGTCCTGGTGGCTTGAAAAACTCACCAGGCATGTTTGGGGCATATGGGTGCCTCAAATCCTGACAGAATGGAGAAATGGAGAAGACACAATACCCTGCTGTGGGGTGCCTTCTCCTTCTCCCTCTCTCCATCTCTCTGGCTCGTGCATGCACCCTCTGTTGTGGGGGTGGAGGGGATGGTGTGCATGTAAGAATAAAATTAAACTGTAGTTCTCTATTTTTTTTTTTTTTGGAGAGATTTTCGCTATAGGGCGCGTGCGCTCGCCAGACAGACAGAGAGAGACATAGAGACAGAAAGCGAGAAATCACCCCCCAGGGGGGATGGTCACGCCGCAATCCCTTCTCCTCCATTCTTCTCTTGGGATCTTGGGCACGCACGCACATGTGCCCAGCATGAGTTTTAAGCCACCGGGTCCAGGACGCGAACCGCGGTCGACTACGTGGGAGTCCAGCGACATAGCCATTACGCTAACTGCTGGTTCCCTCTAAGTTCTTTTTTAAATTAAAAAATATTTATTCATTTTAATTTGGCCAGAGAGAGATGAAGAGAGAGAGAGAGAGAAAGCGAGAAAGCGAGTCACCAGGTCCAGTACTTGAACCATGGTCGGCCATGTGGAAGTGTCCAGTGCCTTAACCACCATGCCACCTGCTGGCCCCCTGTATCTCTAAGTTCTTAGCTCTGGCCACGGGTGTTTGCCATTTGGATTGGTGCAGAGCCAGAAACTGTCAAGGGGATTGATCCCTGCTGGTGGTGTGAAGAAGTCAAATTTGTATTCTCATCGAATGCTGAGGCAACATCAAATTGTAAGAACTCACTACACCCTGCTCAGAGGTGCTGACTCCATTGACAGGGAGGGTAGGCGGGGTTCAGTGAAGCTGGACCCTCCCATGAGCCGGCACCTAGGTTGGGTTCTCTGTCTTAGGGTCTCTAGCTTTCCCTCCAACTCCTGGCTCTTCGTCCACTTGGTGCTGTTGGGCTGTCCTCTGGAATGCCAGTTTTTCAAGACCAAGAATTTTTGTCTTTCTCACTTGTATCCCCAGCACCTAAAATAGTGCTTGGCACACAGACGTGGGGAATGAATGGACACTCTCTTCCCCCAGCTCAGTCTTTAATTTGGACTTGCTCTCTGTTTATCTCAGTCTCCTTTTTAAAAAGTAATTATTTATTTTGTTTGTTATTATTATTGTTATTATTATTTAATTTGACCAGAGAGAGAAAGGGAAAGTAAGGAAGCAAACTGTCAGGTCCTGGACTCGAACTGTGGGTTGGCCACATGGAAGTCCAGCACCCCAACCACCACGCCACCTGCTGGCCCCATGTTTATCTCAGTCTCTATCTCCCTTTCTCTCTTTCTTTCAGGTCCCTCTGTCTCTCTGTTCCTCTATTTCTGTTTTAGAATCTCCTCATCTTTCTCTCTCTGGGCATCTCTGTCGCTCTCATTTTTCAGTGCCTCGTTTTCCAGTCTTGGTTTCTCAGGATCCCTCTCTGCTGCCTCTCTGTATATCTCTGTCCCTCTTTGTCTCTCTCTATGTTTAAAATTTGCTACAGGGAGCATGTGCTCACGAGAGAGACAGAGAGAGAGCTTACTGGTGAGAGAAAGTGAGAAATCCCCGCCTCCCCCCCCGGAACCCCGCAGGGTGATGGCCATGCCACAATCCCTTCTCTTCCATCCTTCTCTCAGAGTTCGGGCATGCATATACACATGTCTAGCATGTTTTTCAAGCCACAGGGTCCAAGAGGCAAGTCACACAGTCAGACATGTGAAATCCAGCTACCTAAACTGCCACGTCACTTGCTGGCCCCCTTCTCCATCTTTCTTGCAGTGTCTCCATGTTATTTTCTCTCTCTCTCTTTTTTTTTTTCAGATTTTTTGTAATAGGGAGTGTGTGCTCATCAAAGAGAGAGACAGAGAGAGACCCAGAGAAAGTGAGAAATCATCTCCCTGGGAGAGTAGATGGCCACACTGCAATCTTCTCTGTAGATTTTGTGTACACATGTACACAGGCCCAGTGTGATTTTCCAGTCACCCGGTCCCGGACTTGAACCATAAACTTGGCCATGTGGGATCCAGTGCCATAACCTCCATGTAATTTGCTGGATCATTTCTCCCTCACTCTTTTTAATGTTTGGTATAGGGCATATGAGAGAGAGAGAGAGGGAGAGAGAGAGAGAGAGAGAGAGGAAGTAAGAAAGCATTCCTAAGGGAAATGACTCTCAGTCCCTTCTCTTCCACTCTCCTCTTAGGATTTTGGGCATGCATGCACATGCACCCAGTGTGTTTTTCAAGCCACAGGGTCCAAGACTTGAGCCATGCAGTTGACCATATAGGTTCAACCACCTTTACCATCATGCCATCTCCTGGCCGATTTTCTTTGCCGTCTCTCCATCTGTCTTTCTCAGCACCTCTGAGTCTCTCCAGCTTTCCCTTCCTCCCTCCACCTCTGCATCCCTGGCTGGGCCCTGGGGCAGACTCTGTGGTCGGCTGGTGGTGGGAACAGCATGGGGATTAAGGAGCCGACGCCCCATGTGGGGACCGCCTATAAGCCTCATTCCAGCCAGCCCCATCTCAGCAAAGCATATCCCAGGCTCTGGATGGCCTTGGGGATACCCTGTTCTGAGGAGGACCTCCCAGGCCACCTCCGCCTATGGCTTGGGGGCTGGCCCCGCTCTGTGGCTCAGTGCAGCTTGGGATGTCTGCCCAGTGAGAAAAGCTGTTGTCAGCAGGATGTCTGGGTGGTAGGTCTGTCCCAGGTTGTGAGGCTCCATGCCTGGGACAGACCTATTTCCAGGGCAAAGCGAGAGGCGTGAGGAACGGGGGAGAGAGCCTCAGTCTTCATTGTCTTGTCTCTCTGTCTTTTTCTAATAATTTCTTTCTCTCCCCCCCTTCTGTAACTTTTGCTAATAGGATGTGTGCACTCGATGGAGAGACAGAGAAAAGGAGAAAGCACCCAGGAGGGATGGCCATGCCGCAATCCCTTCTCCATTCTCCTCTTGGGATTTTGGGCACACGTGCACACGTGCCCATTGTGGTTTTTTTTTTTTTTTTTGAGAGATTTTTGCTATAGGGCGCGTGCGCTCGCCAGACAGAGAGAGATATAGAGACAGAAAGTGAGAAATCACCCCCCAGGGGTCACGCCGCAATCCCTTCTCCTCCATTCTCCTCTCAGGATCTTGGGCACGCACGCACATGCGCCCGGCGTGAGTTTTAAGCCACCGGGTCCGGGATGCAAACCGCGGTCGACTACGTGGGAGTCCAGCGACATAGCCATTACGCTAACTGCTGGTTCCCCCCATTGTGTTTTTCAAGTCACCGGGTCTGGGACTTGAACCTCATAGTTGGCCATGTGGGATCCAGCTGTCTTAACCTAAACCACGCCACAGCTGGCCTTGGTCATTTCTCTCTGTTTCTCTCTCCTCTTTGTTTCCCTATTTTTAAAAAAAGTTTATTTATTGGGAGGAAGAGAGTGAGAAAGAGACTTCTTTAACAGGTCCTCATGCTGTGATCCACCCCTGTCCCCACTGGCTGGGATCACTTTTGCTCCTGACGTGTACAGGAAGACTTTGGTACTCAAACCCAGGACCTTCCCATGTGGATCCAGCACCACAGAATTGCATCATGGCTGCACTACCACAGCTGGCCCTCTTTCTCCCCCTTTCTCAGTCTCTGTCTCAGTTATCTAATTTTCTCTGTCTCTGATAGTGTCTTTGTGTCCCCTAGGGTCTTTGACTTGTGAGATTGAAAGGCGGCGTGATGGTTAAAGTGCTGGACTCCCACATGGTTGGCTTTGTTCTGAGTTCTGGACCTGATGGCTGACTTTCTCAATTTCCCTCTCTCTCTTTCTGTCTCTCTCTGGTGAAGGCATGTGCCTTGTAGCAAATTTAAAAATAATAATAGCAATAAGTAAAATTAAGTAAATACTTCTTCTTTTTTTTTATTTTCATAGGTTTTTGCTGTAGGGCGTGTGTGCTTGCCAGACAGACAGAGAGAGACAGAGAGACAGAAAGCGAGAAATCACCCCCCAGGGGGGGGATGGCCACACCGCAATCCCTTCTCCTCCATTCTCCTCTCGGGATCTTGGGCACTCACACACACGTGCCCAGCATGAGTTTTAAGCCACCGGGTCCAGGACTTGAACTGTGGTCGACTACATGGGAGTCCAGTGACATAGCCATTACGCCTCGCGCTGGTCGCAATAAATACTTCTTTTAAAAAAGTGGTTAGAAGCACAGTATCTTCAGCCAGGTAGTCTATGTTCGGATTCCAGCTTTGTGATTTCGGCAAGTGGCAGAGCATGGGGATTAAAGGACTCACACTGCAAGTGGGGATCACCTGTAAGGCTCACTCCAGTCAGCCCTGTCACCTCTCTGAGCTTGTTTGCTCCTTTCTTCCCCACTAACATTGTTCTTTGCATGGTGCCCTGCGTCTGTAGCAGGCTCCCTCGTCGGGTTCCTCCTCAGTTGCTGTCTTTTCCTTTCCTTCCCTGTCTTCAGGTGGCCTCACAGCCTTTACCTCCCATCCTGTCTCCAGGAAACAATTCTTTTCCACCGAGGCCTCCCTAAGGATGAGGGTAGAATTAGGTGGTGTCTCCTGTCTCTGCAACCATACCTCCTTTCTCCCCAATGGAAGGGACTGTCCTCCTTCCTTTAATTCAGCCAAGACAGGTTTGAATCTATTACTATGATAATTTACTAGGAAATGATGCAAAATGTCCCTGCAGATCGGTTAAAGCAGCAGGTGTGGGGGATAGGCACAAGGCAATGGAGGCACAGGGTGTGAGAAAGATTGTGACAGTGGAGGCGTGCGGGGCAGATAGCAGAACGAAAAACAGGACGGAGCAGCCTTGAGGCACGGGCCTCATCTGTCACAGGCGATTCTGGGAGGGCCAGGGCGTCAGCGTGCACGCAGGCACAGCTGGAAAGGTCTCGGCAAATTGCCCAAGCCTGAGCTGAGCGGAGTCAGGTCGATGTCCTCGGGCGCCCCCAGCGGCTGCAGCGAGAAGCTCTGCAGGATGGCGGTGAGGTAGAGGAAGAGCTCCATTCGGGCCAGGGATTCGCCCAGGCACAGTCGGCGCCCTGCGGGGGGTGGTAGGGTGAGGAACAGCAGTGAGATAAGATAGGATAAGGGGCTGGAACCCCAAATTCCCGGAGGAAAACCAAGTATAAAGATAACAGTTGGGGGAGCTGGCAGGTGGCATGGTGGTTAAGGGCGCTGGACTCCCACATGACCGCCCATGGTTTGAGTCCTTAGCCTGGTGGCTTGCTTTCTCACTTTCTCTCTCTCTCTGTCCCCTGTCGTTAAACGGGGAAAAAAAAAAAAAAAAAAAAAGAGGAATAGTTGGGGATGCTACAGATTCACTCATTTAAAGATCTGGGAAAGGTGCTTTAAGAAAGTCAAGGGGAGAGGGGCCGGCAGGGAACGGTGGTTAAAGGCGAGGTTTAAGTCCTCGCCCTGGTGGCTGCTTTCTCACTTTCCCTCTCTCTCTTTCTCTGTCTCTCTGTGATCAAAGTGGAAAATAATAATAATTATAAATAAAGTTAAATAAAATAATTATTTAAAAAATTGTGGCGAATGACCTGGTCTGTACAAAATGAGACTGCTTAGGCTTGAATCCTTCTCTGTCATTACCAGTTCTGTGATCCTGGGCAAGGATGGTTAGGGCACTGGATTCTACGTATTTAAAACGGGGACGATAGGGACCAGCAGATGGCATAATGGTTACATCACTGGACTCATGCATAGTTGACTGTAGTTCAATTCCTGGACCCAGCGGCTTAAACTCATGCTAGGCGTGTGTATGTGCATCCCCGAAATACCAAGGAAAAAATGGAGGGGAAGGGAGTGTAGAGTGGCCATCCCACTGGGGGGGTGATTTCTTGCTTTCAGTTTCTCTGTCTCTCTGGTAAGTGCATGTGCCCTATAGCAAAAAAATTCTCAACAAACAAACAAAAAACTCAGGGATGATAATTGTGCCTCTTGGGCTGGCCCCATGGCCTAGTGGTTAAGGGAATCAGATCCTACATAAAGGGGTTTAAATTCCAGACCCAGACACTTGAAAACACACTAGGAACATGTGTGTTTATGCCCCAAGTCTCACAGGATGGTAGTACAGCCACCATCCAAATAATATCAAACTTCCTCAAAAACCTACAGATATAATTACCATATGACTGAGGCTGGCAGGTGGCATATTGGTTAAGGGCAGTGGACTCTCACATGGCCGACCACAGTTCAAGTCCTGGACCTGGTAGCTTGCTTTCTCATGTTCTCTCTCTTTTTTTCTCTTTCTCTGGTCAAATTAAAATAAATAAATAAATGGATAAATAAAGTTAAATAAAAAAATAATTGACTAGAGAAAAAAAGAATTACCATGTGTCCTAGTAATCTCACTCCTTGCCGTTTACTCAAAGGATAAGAAAGTACTCAGTTGGAAGGACGCTTGCACTTCCATGTTTATTGTAGCATTAGTCACAATTGCCAAAGACACAAAATCAACTTAAGTGCCCAAGAACTCATGACTGGGTTGAAAATATGTGGCACATATACACTAGAGAATACTTATTCAGTCATAAGGAACAATGAGACACTGTCATTTGACTCAAAGTGACTGAATAAAGAAGATGTACTAAGTGAAGAAAGCCAGACTTTGAAAGACAAACACTGGGAGCAGGCAGGTGACGTGGTGGTTAAGGGCATCGGACTCCCACATGGCCGACCTTGGTTCCAGTCCCAGACCTGGGGGCTTGCTTTCTCACTTTCTCTGTCTGTCTCTCTCTCTCTTGCTCTGTCCCTATCTGGTCAAATTAAAATAAAATAAATAAAAAAAAAAAAAAGAAAGACAAACACTGTATAGCCCTGGTCACTATACCTAATGTCCACAGAAATGGAAAGATCTGAAGATATGATAGTAGGAAGGACAAGTGTACGTACCAGAGTCTATAAGGAAGGGGAGGAATGGTAGGGGTGTGGGAGAGGCAAAGAGAAGAAACAATAGACTTAAGAATGTAAAATTCTCTACTGAAAATGACATAAAAGGAGACTAGCAGGTGATGTGGTGGTTAAGGCACTGGACACTCCCACATGGCTGACCACAGTTCGAGTCCCGGACCTGGTGGAAAAATATCCCTCGCTTGATGTGTCTCTCACTGTTCAAGTTAAAATAAATAAATGAATGAATAAATAAAAATTAAATAATTCTTTAAAAAGAAAATTATATAAAAATAAATAAAATTTAAATAAATAAATAAAAAGACTCAGGAAGGGGGAGCCTCACAGGAAGGAGAAACGAAGGAGGGATTGTAGGGATTGCAATCAGGCCCCATTGGGAGATGCTTTCTCCCTTTCTCTCTGTGGTGAGCACACATGAGCTCTAGAAGAATTAAAAAAAAAATAGTAAGGGCAGTAGGTGGTATGGTGGTTAGTGCACTAACCACCCAGTGGCCAGCTGCAGCTGGAGTCCTAGACCTGGTGGATTGAAAATAACAATAAACAAATAGATAAGTAAATAAATACCATTTTTAAGTGTCTCTTATGTAGTTCTTACTATGTGCCCTGTAATACTCAAAAACACTATCTTGCTATTAATTTAATCCTCTTAACTCTAATAGGGAGATCAGCAGATGGTATAATGGTTATATAGCTAGACTCCCACATAGCTGACCGTGGTTTGAATCCTAGACCCAGCAGCTTAAAACTCACACCAGGCACATGTGTGCACATGCCCAAAATCCCGAGAGGAGAATGGAGAAGGGACTGTGGTGTGGCCATATCTACCGGAGGGTGATTTCTTGATTTTTGCCTCTGTCTCTCCAGCGAGCACATGTGTCCTATAGCAAAAGTCTCTAAACAAACAAACAAACAAACAAACCCAAAAACCCCCTCTAATGATACTCTTAGTATCATGTCCATTTTACAGATGTGAAAACAGGCACAGAAGAATGAAATTCCAGATCCAAGGTCATACAGGTAGGAGATGACAGAGCTGGGATCCTTACAGCTCTTCTCAGGAAGATGGACAATAGGCAATATAGTCAATTACCTACCGCTATCCTTTTTGTTTTTTTTCCTTCCTGCGCTACTGAGTAAATAAGGATGATTTTTTTTCAGCAGGTTTAAGACAGAAGCCAAGGAAAACTAGAACGACTTAAGCTGCGCCACCTAGTGGAGAGGATGACAATGACCACTTTCAAGTTAAAAACAATTAAAAAAAAAGATTAACTAATTAATTTTAATGTGACCAGAAAGGGACAGAGTGAGAAAGAGAGAGACAGACAGTGAGAAAGCAAGGTGTCAGGTCTGGGACTCAAACTGTGGTCGACCATGTGGGAGTTCAGTGCCCTAAATGCCATGCCACCTGCCGGCCCCAAGTTAATTTTTTTTTTTTTTGAGAGGGTTTTGCCATACTGGGAGCTGAACTGCAGTCAACTACATGGGAGTCCAGCAACATAGCCATTACACCAACTGCTGGCCCCAATATTTTAAAAAAGGTTTTTGCCATAAGGCACGCGGGCACTGGCAGCAGAGAGACAGACACAGAGAGAGGGAAAGTGAAAAGTTACCTGCCTGGGGGGGGGTGGCCATGCCACAATCCCTTCTCCTCTTGGGCTTTTGGGCATGCATGTATATGTACCCAGTGTGATTTTCAAGCCACTGGATTCAGGACCTGAAATGCTGTTGACCATGTAGGAGTCCAGTACCTTAACTACTACGCTACCTGCTGGCCCCTCAAGTTAATTTTTAAATTTCTCTCCCCACCTCCCCCCACAAGGATTTTAGTCGTTACTTGTCTATGGAGCAGAGTTGGGAAAGGGGAGAAGTGTCTATGCATTCAAAGCTGACAAACGGGATAAAATGAACAGGTGAGGTTTGTACAGTGAATTAGGATTGAGGAATGTAGATAGGAAAGTGGGGCCAGAAAGACTCTGACTCCTGCTTTTACCGGCTGAGAAGGGCATGAAGGCAGGGCTCTTCTTGAAGGACTGATTAACATCCAAAAAATGCTCGGGGTTGAATTCCTGGGGCGTCAGGAACTGGCTGGGGTCGTAGTGGACAGTGTTAAGAAGGGTGATGATATCCGTGCCCTGTGTGGGTGATGAAGTGGGGTTAGTGGTGTGGAAGGGCTGGGAGATTCCCAAACTAAGCTTTCCATGTCACAGGGCTCAAGGTCTTGGACACCTGATAAACAGGGGCAGACGGCGCATAGGACTTGACTAGGGGTCTGGGAAGTGTGTGTGTGGGCTCTGGGCACTGAGTGATGGGTGCTAGAAGCTGTGTTGCTGGGGTCTGAGATAGGAATACAGGATCCTCCCCACCCCATCTTGTGAGAGCAGTTTCAGGGAAGGGGAGTAGGTCTCTCTGAGAGCAGTGTTTGGGTACTGGTGATCCTCAGCACTAAGTCCCAGGCCTTAGGGATTCCCAGGAAGGGGGGCTATTGTGTACAAGAGATTTGGGTTCAGAACAGGGGTTCACCCACTCTGGTATGGGATGGGATCCTGGGATGGGACTAAGGTCCTGGATTTGGTCTTCAGACATCTGTTGCTAGGGCTGGGGATGACAGCTGCTAAGGCTGGGGGAGCTGATGGCTAGGGCCTGGGATATGCCTTGCTGGTCGCAAGGGCCCAGGATGCCTCTTCCTGGTTGCCCACCATCAGTTGTCAAGCGCACCTTGGGCAGCAGGAAGCCACGAAAGGCCGTGTCCCGAGTGACGCGGTGCGGCAGGTTCATGGGGATGACATCTGCAAAGCGCTGCACCTCGTGGATGACTGCATCTGTGTAAGGCATGGAGGCGCGGTCCTCCAGGGCGGGCAGCCGCGAGCGTCCCACCACGCGGTCGATCTCCTCCTGCACGCGCTCTGCAAGTGGAGGGGGAGCGCAGTCAGGGCATCAAGCGGGCGCGACTGGACTGGGAAGAGGCGTGGGTGGGCGTGGCTATGTGTGTCTCTGCTAGTCTGTTTCCCAGTGCTAGGTGCCACGGCAGGGGCTCACGTGGGGATTAGCTGCAGCCTCAGAGTGAGGGGATGGGCTCAGAGGCACAGGCAGGGAGCAAGGCTGGCTTGTGCCGGGTAGGGGCGGGGCTTCAGGGCTACCTTGAGTCCAGACCTTAGAAGGGATTTCAGGAGGGGATTGGAGGACCTGCGTGCTGGATGGTGGACCGAATGGGTGGACCATGTGCGAAGGCTGGCGAGGAGGTGCAGAGCGGGGCATACGTCCAAAGGTGGGGCTTGGGGAGGTAGGGTAACCCACAGTGCTGCGTGGGTGGTCAGAATGCATGGGATGGGTTGAGTTTCGGGTAGACTACAGGACAGGGGCTCCGAGGGTGGCTCTGGGAGGACTGTGAGTGCGACTGTGTGCCATAAAGGACGCTTATGAGGGCAGGATTAGGGTTCGGATCCAGGCAGGCTGAATGGACCCCCGTGGACCACGTGGATGGGGTCAGCCTCCTTTTGTGGGTTTGACTTTGGGACCCAGGGATTAGCCAGAGGCTTTAGATGATCAGACAAGCTGGGCTGGGTCATGGCTTCTTTTTTAGGGGAAGGGGAAGGAAGGCTAGACCCCCTTGGACCCAGCGGGTGGGTTAACGCCTGTGGGCAGGTCTCAGGGCCTGGCTTGTGCTGGCGCACCTTGCACTTTGGGGTACTTCATGAGCGCAAGGAAGGCGTGGCGCAGCGTGGTGCCCACAGTCTCGGTGCCGCCAAAGAGCAGATTATGTGTGGTCATCAGCAGGGTATCCATGTGGAAGTGGCTCAGCGGGTCCTTCTTCTCCTGCAGGGGTTGAGGGTTGGGGGTAGGGGACAGGGCCGGGAGATCCCACCCAGACACTGAGCGCAGGCTCGGAGGCCATCCAAGTTCACCTCTGACCTGCCCAGCAGCTAGGGGTGCCAGTTCAGTCTCTGCTCTGTTTAATTACCTTTCCTTGGAGGAGCGAGGAAGGCTGGGGTAGGGAAAATCTCAGCCCCAGGGCCCATAAGGAACATCCTAGCTGGAGCGTTAAGGACGTCTTATTGAGCTGTTAATTGGCGGTGGCCAGGAATAGCTCTGGGCTGCAGCCTAGTCCTGCAAAGTGCGCCAGATCCTCCTTGGGAGCAGCTCTCCCAACCCCGCCTAATCTGGGATCCCAGCAGGTTTGCAGCAGGGGAGGCGGGAAGGCAGCAGGAGGGTTTCAGGTCCGGCCAGAGGTGGGATTTCCAGGCAGGGCTTACCTGTGCCATCTTGGTGAGGAAGCAGTCGATGAAGTCTCGCGGAGAGTTGGGGTCTAAGGAGGCCTGGTGTTCACGCACGCTGCGGGCGATGAGGTCTTTCATGAGCCCGAAGTTCTGGAACAGGCGTCGGTGCGGTCCGGGGACCCAGTCCAGAAGACTCGGAAAGATGTTGTATAACTGAGGACCGGGCAGAGTCGGTGTGGTTTGGAGGGACAAACACCAGGGTGTGTGTTGGGGGCAACTGGGGTCAGGTGGATCATGCAGGCTGGGATGGGGTCTAGAGGAGCAGCCAGGTTCTGGACAGGCAGGAGGTGGCGATGGAGAGGTGGGGGAGGCCGGGGAGGAAAGAGGGAGCCAGGTCTGTGTGTAGCCCAGAAGCTGCGGAGGAATGGGCGTGGCTGCGAAGCTCCGGGGGAAGAGCCAGGCAGAGCCAATAGCTGTCCCTTCCTCGCCTGCTGTTTGGTCTGTCTCTGGACTTTGTAGACCCCTCACCAGGACCCCCATGGAACTGTCTCCTGACCTCGCCCCACGGGCTGCTCATGATTTGGAAGTTGTCGTTGATGAGGCGGATAATGGTGAGCAGACGCTCGTCGTCGTAGTTGAAGCGGCTGCCGAAGAGCACGGAGCAGATAATGTTGGACACCGAGCGGCTCAGTACAAACGTGGGGTCGAAGGGCTCGCCTGAGAGTGAGGGGTGGAATGGGTCTGGGGCACAGCTTAGGACCATGCGCAACACCCCAGATCTCGTGCAGCAACAGCACCCATTTGCACGACGTCCTATTCTACCATGACAGTGTCTCCTAGGGCGGAACACGCACGTGGCTCCCCAACATGCAGTGTTAACTACACCCTGGCAATGTGACAGAGCGCAGAACCCACAGCTTCTCAGTATTCCGACGACAATACTCAACAGCAGAACAGGCTAGTTGTGGCATACAGAGCATCACAATCACCTGGCAGCACAGAACACATGAGAACATACAGTAGGACCAGCAGATGTCATAATGGCTATGTTGCTGGACTCCCATGTAGTTGACCGCGGTTCGAGTCCCAGACCTGGTGGCTTAAACTCAGGCCGGGTGTGTGTGCATGCGTGCCCAAGATCCCGAGAGAATGGAGGAGAAGGGATTGTGGCATATCCATTCCCTCATTTCTCACTTTTGTCTCTCTCTGTCTTTCTGGAGAGCCCACGTGCCCTATAGCAAAAACCTCTCAAAAAAGCCAAAACAAACATATGCCAAAAACACCGAGCAAATAGGAGCACAATACATATTCAGCCCCACAAGGTGACCTAACAGCCAAGCCAGCCTGGATCTCAAGACATGGCAACTATACATTGATACATTATCCCAGCATGCAGCTGTACCTTCCTGCAACACAAAACAATATACAGCAGGCCAGCATGTCATAGCAAGGTGGTTAGGGTGGCCAGATCCCACGTGGCTGACTGCATGGTTTGGTCCCCAACAGGCAGCTTGAAAAATGCATCAGGTGCAGGTACCTGTGTGCTCAAGGTCCCCAGAGGAGTATGGGAGAACAGATTGCTGCATGATCATCTCCCTGGGGATGTGTTTCTCTCTTTCTCTTTCTCTCTCTCTGGAGAGCACATGCACCCTGTAACAAGTTAATAATAATAATATAATAAGGGTCCAGCAGGTGATGCAGTGGCTAAGGCACTGGACTCCCTCATGGCTAACTGCAGTTTGAATCCTGGAACTGACAGCTTGAAAATCACTCTGGCTGCATGTGTGTGTGTACGCCCAAAATCCCGAGAGGAGAATGGAGAAGGGATTGCAGGGTGGCCATCCTCCCTGGGGAATGATTTCTTTTCTTTCTTTCTTTTTTTTTTGGAGAGGTTTTTGCTATAGGGCACGTGCATTTGCCAGAAAGACAGAGAGAGACAGAGAGATAGAAAGCAAGAAATCACCCCCATCCCTTCTCCTCCATTCTCCTCTCAGGATCTTGGGTAAGGACGCACATGCACCCGGTGTGAGTTTTAAGTCACTGGGTCCGGGACTTGAACCGTGGTCGGCTACATGGGAGTCCAGCGACATAGCCATTACGCTAACTGCTGGTCCCGGGGAGTGATTTCTTATTTTTCCTCTCTGTGTCTCTCTCTGGTGAATGCACGCCCCCACGGCAAACAAAACAAAACCATGACAACAACAACAACAACAAAAAAACAAAGAAAAAAATGCCTAAAAATAAAATAATAATAATAATAATAATAGTAGTAGTAGAATACACAGCAACCCAGCAGCAAACGCAGAATGCACCCCATGTGATATTCCAATACAATAAAGGCAGCAGAAGAGAAGATACACAGTAGACAACGATGCAACAACACTCATGGCATGGCAGACAATAGACAACACACAGAATACTGCGCATAGTGCCTGACAGCACTACACCCTCACCAAATAACACACAGCAACACAGCTCCTAACATGTGATAATCGAGTAGCCGAACAGACTTGTGAAAGTTGTCAGAATCAAAATGGAGTCACCTGTATCAGCCTGACAAAATGGAGCCAGGAAAGGCCATGAAGGGAAGGGATATTCTGCAAGTATATGCTTGATAACAGGAACTATCACAAGGACCTAGTCAGAAGCACAACCTTGCACAAAGGCTATTGCAACCTCATGCAAAAAACAATTCTGTGGTGACATCTGTCCAGCAATTTCCTGTGTCCAACTTTGGACCGAGGCCACCACTGGTGTGAATTCTTGTAGCCAAGGACAAATTGTACCAAAACAAATGATGTAATCTCTGCTAATTTTTCTTTCAAAAATCCCTGTCTCCCTGGGCCTTTCTGAATATGCCCATAGATTATTATGGCCTGCACAATCCATGTTGTAATGCTCATTCCTGAATAAATATCATTTTTCGGAGTGATTTTTGCTATAGGGCACATACACTAGCTGAAGAGACAGAGAGACAGAAAGCAAGAAATCGTCCTTTGGGGGGATGGCCATGCCACAATCCCTTCTCCATTCTCCTCTTGGGATTTTAGGCGCCTAGTGTGATTTTCAAGCTGCTGGGTCTGGGACTTGAACCATAGTCAGCCACGTGGGAGTCCAGCCATGTAACCATTACACCATCTGCTGGTCCCTCATTTTTTTCTTATCTTTTCCTTTTTCATTTTCTTTAGAGAATCTCTCTTTGTTATTTATTTATTTATTTTTTTGGAGAGGTTTTCGCTATAGGGAGTGTGTGCTCGCCAGACAGACAGAGAGAGACATAGAGACAGAAAGCAAGAAATCACCCCCCCAGGGGGGATGGTCACGCCGCAATCCCTTCTCCTCCATTCTCCTCTCGGGATCTTGGGCATGCACGCACACGTGCCCGGCGTGAGTTCTAAGCCACCGGGTCTGGGACGCAAACCGCGGTCGACTACGTGGGAGTCCAGCGACATAGCCATTACGCACTAACTGCTGGTTCCCTCTCTTTGTTATTTAAATATTGACAGTCCACAGAAAACAATATCAAAACAACACCTTTCAAGGCAGCAGCGAAGAAACAATGGTAGAGCCCAGGAGACCAGGTTTGGAGTTAGCAGGACACAGTTTGAATCCTGACTTGGCCTCTCAAACTCTGTGTTAGCTGGGCCAGCTGACTTCACTTCCCTTTTCTTGCCTGTAACGGGTTTTATCACAGTCCACCCCTCACGGGCCTATTCTAAGGAGTCAGTGAGTATGTGTCTGTGAAGTGCCTAGCTAAGGGCTCATCATGCAGCGAGGCAATTGCAAATCATGGTGTGTGGTAGGTTGAACGTGGCCCTCCAGAAGATGGCCATGTGCTTATTCCTAGAACCTACGAATAGATCCTTTGACTTTGCATGGCGAAGGGGACTTTGCAGTTGTAAGCAGGAGGGAGCCACTGAGTGATGGCTGGGGCTGCATGGGAGGCCTGGGTTTGGCTTTCTAGGTCAGCTAAGGGGCTGAAGCAGAGGACTCTTATGGTGAGCCTCTGTCAAAAAGTACCTCTCAGGGCCAGCAGGCGGCATGGTGGTTAAGGCACTGGACTCCCACATGGATGATTGCTGATTAAGTCTGGGACCTGGCGGCTTGCTTTCTTACTTTCTCTCCGGTCAAATTTAATAATAATAAAAATAAATAAATAAAATTTAAAAATACCTCTCTTTCTCTCTCATGAAAACAAAACGAAAGGAGCTTTGCAGATGTGATTCAATGAAGGACTTTCAGGCTGGGTCATGGCTTAGTGGTTAAGGGAGCTGGATCTCACATGGCTAACTCAGTTCGAATCCTGGCCCCAGAGGCTTGAAAAACATACCAGGAACATACACTTGCGTACCCCCAATCCCAACAAGATGGAGAAATGGAGGAGAAGGGATTGTGCCCCACTGATGGGGAGGCTTTCTCTGTCTCCTTCATTCTGTGTCTCTCTTTCTTCCTCTGGCAAGTGCACGCACACTCTGGCAACTTAAAAAAAAAAAGTGAGATTGTTGCGATGGGAAGATTACTACGGATTACCCATGCGGTCCTTATAAGAGGGAGGCAAGTGGGCCTGAGTAGAAAAGGTGATGGAAGGAGAGAGGAGGGAAGTGGGAGGAAGGTGAGGGAAGAAGACACTTTCTTCTTCTTTTTCTAAAAAAAATATTTTATTATTTTTTCACATGAGTTTTGCCAGAGGAAGAGAGACAGAGAGAAGGAGAAGGAGAAAGCAAGTCACCAAGTTTGGGACTCGAACTGTGGTCAACCATGTGGGAATTCCAGCACCCCAACCGCCATGCCACCTGCTGGGCCCAGAAGACACTTTCTTCTGATTTTGAAAATGGAGGAAGGGGCCATGAGCAATGCAGGTAGCCTCTAGAGGCTAGAAAAGGCAAGGAAATCAATTTTCTCCAAGAGCCTCCCATGGAATGCAGCCCTACCTCCAGTTTACTATAAGAGAATAAATCTGTGTTATTTGTAAGCCAAGTTTATAGCAGTAATAAGAAAGTTTATAGCAGTAATAAGAAACTAACACAGGCAGTTGTTTCGCTTACATCACATCATTTAAGCTCTGCAGTTTCACCTGCCACCTTATTATTTTTTTGCCTGAGGTCAGTAAGATTTGACCAAGGAAGTGGGCTGTTTAGCAATCAGTGCCTCATCTGTCTCTCATAAAATGGGTTTATGATAGGACGTACTTGTTAGGTTTGGGTGAGTTTTCAAAGAGGGAATTTATACAAAATTACTGGAATAGTGTTGGCATATGGTGGACATCAGGTAAGACTGTGTGTGTGTGCCAGTGGACGTGTGCATGAGACAAACACACACACACACCCAGAGAGAGAGGGAGAGAGAGAGAGAGAGAGAGAGAGAACTCCTCTAGTGGGGGTCTCTTCATGCCACAATCCATTTCCCCTCCACTTCTCTATTTCATTACAATCCTGGACACTTAAGCATTTGCCCAGGGTGTTTGTCTAGTCACCAGGGTCAGGATTTGAACCATGTGGTATCTGGCTCCCTCTGCATAGCATGTAATCTCTGCACTATGGGGCCAGCCTGAGAGTTTTTTTTTTTTTTTCCTTTTAATCTTCGGATCTCAATATTTCCTTTAATTAACCTCCTCAATATTGACGAGAACAGTGAAATAAAATGCTTTTCTCTGTAACCTTTAGTTCTAAGCAGAGTCCATTAGAGACTTCAATTACTTTTGCAGCTGACTCTTGCATTGGTAGACACTTTGCTTGATATTAAATAAGCTTTGCCAGTTCTAGGAGAGAGTGGACTATACAGTAGTGTGTATCACTTGGCTGATGTGACAGGAATAAAGAACAGACTGTATCCACTCCTCTGCTTTTATTTTTTTTTTTCTTTTCCTTTTAAAAATGTTTAATTAATTAATTTACATTCATTCCCTGAACATCGTCACAGCATACAAAATGTGATTTCCCGGGGACCAGCAGGAGGCATGGTGGTTAAGGTGCTGGACACTCCCACATGGCCGACCATGATTCAAGTCTCGAGCCTGCTTGCTTTCTCACTTTCTCTCTCTGGTCAAAATTAAAATAAATGAATGCATAAATAAAATGAAATAAATAATCCTTTAAAAAATGTGATTTCCTATCTGGAATATACTGCATAGTGGCTTGGTCATACATGTTATTGTCAATAATTTTCCCTTTCTAGTTTCCAAGTGCTGTTTTTTAAACCAATTCTTCAGCTATGTTGATCCATGAAAAAACTTTGATAAAAATAACTATTTCTATATAATATATATATATAGTTTTCTTTTTAGACTTTATATAATAATAAACATTTTTACTGTAATATAATAAAATATATAATATAGCCTAGCTCTGCCAGCACTTGGCACGTGACTTAACCTTTATGGACTTGAGCTGCCTCACCTGTGTAGTAATATCTACTTAGGATTGTTAAAGAGTGAGCTGGTTCAAACTGGTGAAGAGTCTGACATAGTGCCTGGTATCCAGTAAACACCCAGTAAGTGGGCATTAATGTATTGACTGTGGATTTTGGGGTCAGGTATGAATTTTTAAAAAAAAAATTTTTTTTGGAGAGGTTTCTACTATAGGGTGCGTGTACTTGCCAGAAAGACAGAGAGAGACAGAGACAGAAAGTGAGAAATCATCCTCCCAGGTGGGATGGCTATGCCACAATCCCTTATCCTCCATTCTCCTCTCGGGATCTTGAGGACTCGCGGACATGGGCCCAGAGTGAGTTTAAGCCACCGGGTCCGGGACTTGAACCACAGTCGACTACATGGGAGTCCAGTGACATAGCCATTATGCTGGTCCCGAATTTATTTAGTTTTAAAAGAATTATTTATTAAATTTAACTTGCTACAGGACGTGTTTGTTCACTGGAGAGACAGAGAAAGAGAGAGTGAGAGAGAGAGAGCGAGAAAGACAGGGAAAGTGATAAAGCAAGCCTCCAGGTCCAGGACTTGAAGCACTGTCAGCCATGTGGGAGTCCAGCGCCTTAATCACCATGCCATCTGCTGGCCCCAGACATGAATTTAAATCCTGGCCCCACTACTTACTAGCTAGCTCTGTTATTTCAAGCCAGTTGCTTAACCTCTCTGTGTCTGTTTTCTCATCTGCAAAATGGATTGTCCCGAGGCTTAAGGGATTTCTGTGAAAATGCGCTTAGCACATTGAGGTCTTAAGGATGTCATTGCCAGTCACAGTTACACCAGTTGGGCTCACAATACCACGGAGAAATAGCACAGCAGAGCCACCACCCGGTCACGTATCCCACCTCAAGGAGACACAACGCCACAAGCCGATCCGCCTCCAGGGGGCGCCAGTCTCACTGCAGGCCAAGCGAAGGCCTCCAGGAGTTTTGAGTTCGCACCCACGCTGTGTACTCGGTAGCCCAGAACTAGTAGGACGGTTGTGAATTAGGGACATGGAATGCATGCAGGGACTCCGACCTTCAGTTTTCCGCAGTTCTGCCAGGAGGAAGCTGCCTTCTTCTAGGATCCGCTCCTCGATGCTCCTCTTCCCCATTCCGAAGTTCCGCAGGATCTGGACAGAGAACCTCCTCAGCACCTTCCATCTGTCCCCATTGGAGAAGGCGATGCCTGCGGGGAACAGGAGGGGAGCCGGCTGGTCTCCACTAGCATCTGAATCCTCTTTCCTGAAGTTTCTGGGAGAGAAACTCGTTTCTTCAGCCCCTCCCCGATCCTCCTTCGCTGGGTTAGGCGACTCCTTTGAGCTTCCTGGCACCCTGGTTTTCCTCACCACAGTCCTGATGACTCTGCCTCTGCTTCCCCGAGTAAGGACTCTGACCACTCTAGGCTGTCACTACCTGGTGCTGAGGCCAACTCCTTCACTGACTGGGTGAGAGCGGGGTGGGGGCGGGTCTTGGTCACCTCGGGTGTCCTTAGCATTGCCCAGGGCACAACCTATCACACAGGACGTGCTGGTAATTGTTTATTGCATGCTGAAAACACAAATGAGAGAGGTAAACAAGAAGAATAAATACTGGGATGCTGAGAACTCATCCAGGAAGAAACCAGATCCTGTTTAGCCTTTGCCCAGTTTTTCTTGCCAGTCCTCTGGTCTTTGTTCCTTTGACACTTTTTTTTTTCCTGCCAGAGAGCATGTGTGCTTGCCAGAGAGAGAGGGAGAGATAGAGACAGGGAGAGAAGAAAGAATCCCCTGTAGGAAATGGTCATGCTGCAAAGCCTTCTCCATTATCTCCCTCCTTTTGGGATTTTGGGCATGTAGGTATGTGTGCCTGGTGAGTTTTTCAAGCTGAGGGTTTGGGACTCGAACCACACAGTCAGCTATGTAGGATCCAGCTACCTTACTCACTAGGCCACAGAGCCAGCCCCCCAGAACCCACTTTATCTTTTGTTTTCTTCTGACTACATAGTCATTTTCATTTTTCGAGTTTCTACTTGGAGGTCCTCTCCTCCAGGAAGCCTTCCCCGACTTCCCACTTCCTGGTTGGATCAGGTGCTTCTTTTGGGTTCCTCCAACTCAGAAGGCTTCCCTCATCTCATTCATGAGCACCCTGGGATGTTGAAGCCTAGTAATGGATTTTGTCTCTGGGAGCTATAGTAGAATAAGGTCTTGGATCTGTTTACCCATAATTCCTCTGGCCCTAGCAGAGAATTAGATGCTAAAGAAGAAAAAAACTATAGCATGTTGCCTTACATTGTGTGTATTACTTCTGACTCCTCACGACAACCTTCTCATGGTAGCAGACCGAGGGGAGACCATTTGTCCAAGGGTAAACAGCTATAGCTGGCAGAACCCTGATGTTACCCTCTGTGCTTTGTATTGACTGATCAGACGGATGGTGGCCATTTCCTTTTTCCTTTTTTTTTTTGGAGAGGTTTTTGCCATAGGGCTCATGAGCTTGCCAGAAAGACATCGAGAGACAGAAAGTGAGAAATCACTCCCCGGGGGAATGGCCATGCCACAATCCCTTCTCCTCCATTCTTCTCTTGAGATCTTGGGCACGCATGCACACGCACCTGATGGGAGTTTAAGCCACCGGGTCTGGGACTTGAACTGCAGTTGACTACATGGGAGTTCAGTGACATAGCCATTACACTAACTGCTGGTCCCGTCATTTTCTTTTTTTGAATTTGTTATAGAGTGTGAGAGAGGGAAAGTGAGAAAACACCCCTCATGGGGGTGACCACAGTCCTTTCTCCTCCGTTCTCTTCTTGGGACTTTGGGCACACATGCACACATACATGCCTGGGCATGGTTTTTAAACAATTTTTGAATGATTTGTTTATTTAATTCCATTTGTTGTTATTCTTTTTAAATTTGACCAGAGAGAGAAAGGGAAAGGTAGAAAGCAAGGCACCAGATCAGGGACTTGAACTGCTGTCAGCCATATGGGAATCCAGCACCTTTAACCACTATGCCACCTGCTGGTCTCCATCTGGCATGTTTTTTAAGCCACTGGGTCTAGGACTTGAACTATGCGGTCAGCCATGTGGTATCTCAACCACCAGCCCCTGACTGGCCAGGAGAATGGCTACTTTTAGTAAAATCAATGTGTACATCCAAATGATTTTTGTAAAAAGGCAGTGAGATGATTTTCTCAAGTTCCCTGTCTATACCTCGCTGCACCTGGAATACCTGAACAGCTGAGACAAAGCCCAGGGAAGGGCACATGAAGGGTAGAAAGTATACTTCATACCCAATAGGTGGCATTTTGCCAGAGTTTGCTGATTCCAAACCCTGGGGCATCTAACGAAGGGGCTTGATCGTTCTTTAGGGTGAAGAGAGTCCAGGATCTCCTTTTCAATCTGAGAAGCTTGTTTAGTTTTTTTTTTTTTTTTTTTTTTTTTTTCATTGTCATTTATTGGCTTTGTCACATGGCTTCCTTTGAATAAGAGATCTGTATTTAAAAGACTATTTGAAAACCACAAGACTATGTGATTTCCACACTTTGGGAGGACAGGACACTGAGATAGGACAGATTTGGAGGGAATGGTGTGAGTTGTTGGATGGACGGGGAGGAGCTGGGTTTGGGCTGTGCTGGAGATGACACCACGGCAGGTGGAATTATGAGATGATAAATGGATTTGAAGCTAGTGATATGGATGGAGTTGGTAGATTGGGACTGAGCTTGAGCTTGGAGCTGGGACTAGATTTGGTAATGACAGTAAGGTTGAAAATGGGAACTGGGAAGCATCCTGAGGCTTGATGGTTAAAGCACCTGTCTCCCGCATAGCTGACCTAATAGTTCAAGTCCCAGACCTGGCAGCTTGGAAAAATATGCTGAGTTTGTGTATGTGCAAGCCCAAAATCCCACAAAGAGGAAGAGATTGAAGAGAAGAGATGAGAACATGGCCACGCCGCATGGGGGTTGCTCTCTGCCCTCTACTCCATCTCTCTCAGGCAAACACACCTGTCCTCTGGCAAATTAAAAAAAGAAGGAAAGAAAATGGGAACTGGGATCTGGCAACTTCAGTAGGTGATGGGTAGACGATAAGGCTAGGGCTGAGGAGATAAATGACAATGGGGATTAGGATGGGATTGATAATAGGACTAAAAGTGGGTATTGAGAGAGAGCTCATAGTGGGAATGGAGACTGCCCTGAGATGTAGTCGGCGTTGTAGACAGGAATGGAGTTGAGGCTGAAGTGAACATGGGGGCAGGATTAACAGGGATTGGGATTAGGTCAAAGTGGACAATGGCAGCTGGGGACAGATAACTTGGTCACTTGAATGAGATGGAAACTTGATGATCTGGTGGGGGTAGAGATAGGGATTGGAATGAGAATGGAGGTGGAGACTGATATGGAAGTGATTTCAAGATGGTGGCAGGTTTCATACGTGGGGAAAGTGGTGCAGACTTCACTGTGGACTAGGGCTGCCTGGTTCCATCCCATCTGGTATTCTGGGACCATCAGCAAAATCAGTGGCCCTGAGTGTCACCAAAACTAGGAGGACAGTCTTCTACCCTCATCCCATCCCTCAGTGTGGAAAAGTTAGGGTAGAGGAGGTAGGAAACTGGCTTACCGTTGCCTTTAGTAAAGTTGAAAAAGACAGGGTAATCACCGCGGCCGCTAAACTCCTCCCCTTGGTCCACAAGGGCTTCCTTCACAGCTTCGTACCCGCTGAGGACCACCACTCGCCTGGGTCCCAGGTGTACCGTGTACACTGAGCCGTACTCCTTACTCAGCTGGGGGCAGGAAGACAGAGGTCACGGGGGGCCTGGGGCCTTGGAACCTTCTGCCTCTCTCTCCCCATTACCCAAGCTGAGGCCCTTGCACCTTGGTAAGGGAGGTCAGCATGTCTTGGGAGCGAAGCTGCAGCAGGTTTCCCAGAAGTGGGAGGGGTCTGGGTCCTGGGGGCAGCCGGCCCTTGCCCCTTGAGCTGAGGGTCAGAAACAGGCAGACCAGAGCCAGGAGTAGGAGTAAGATGGCTGTGCTGAGGTTGTCCATGGCGAAGGCAGGTGCAGGCCTCTGGAGGGCAAAGTGGGAGAGGGGAGAGCTGGGGGGAGAGAGGTACCCTTCTGTTCCTCATCTCCCTTTGGAACTTGCTTCCCCAGGCCCTGGCAATGGGGGTGCTTGGAAAGAAGAAAAGAGGTGGAGAGAGCAGAGACAGGGAGAGGCCAGGAAATGGGGAAGTGAGAAAGGAAGAGAGAAGAGAGAAAGAAAGCTGGGGATGGGGAGGCACAGACACAAAGGGAGAGCAGAGGTAGTCAAAATACAGAGACTAGAGAGACAGTCATAGAGAAATGGAGAGAGGCAAGAGATACAGAGACCATGAGAGACAGAGAGATAATGTGGGATACAGAAAAACTGTGAGTTATATATCTATAGATGCTTATTTATCTGTCAAGAGATTAACTCTTACACAGATGGCAATAAAGAGAGATGACACACAGGATAGAGACAGACAAACATCAACACACAGAGAGAAAAATCACAGCGAAAGGCTCACATAGACAAGAGAAAGAAAGAGACAGAACTAGAGAAACACAAAGCTAGGGCGCGTGTGCTCACCAGACAGACAGAGAGAGACAGAGAGACAGAAGAGAGATTGAGATAGAGAGATGGAGAGATATGCACTTACCAAGAGACAGATGAACACTGAAAGAGAAAATGGATGAGAGAGAGAGAGAGAGAGAGAGGAAGAGACAGAACTAAAGACAGATTGAAAGAGAAGAGAGAGTGTGACAGAGACACCAAGAGAGAGGCATGTAGACAGAGATGGAGAGAGAGAGAGAGAGAGAATGAGAATGAGAGACTGAGAAAGGTGGAGACATGCAAAGACAGAGACCAACGTCTCCAAGACAGAGAGGGAGGATAGACACAGAAAGAGTAACGGAGGGTCCAGCAGATGGTGTAGCAATTATGTTGCTAGACTCCCACGTGGTTGACTGCTGTTTGAGTCCCAGACCCAGTGACTCATACTGGGCATGTATGCATGTGTGCTCAAGATCCCAGGAGGAGAATGGAGGAGAAGGAATTGCAGTGTGGCCATCCCCCAAGGGAGTGATTTCTCACTTTCCCTCTCACTGTCTCTGTCTCTCTTGATCTCTCCAGCAACCTCACATGCCCTAAGGCAAAAACCTCTTTGGAAAAAGAAAAAAAAAAGTGACAGAAAATGTTCAAGTGTTTCAAACCAAGAGGGTCACATTTCAGAGAGAGATACAGAGACTGCAATGCCCAGAACAGATTTCCAGAGAGATCCAGAGATCCCTTGAACTTTCAGAGGAGACAGCAAAAGAAATTCCCAGCCAGTCTTAGAGACAGGATGGAGCCAGTGACCCCGTTCTCTTGGGAGCCACCTCCTCCTCCATGTCCCTTACCTTGGGCACTTTACCTGCTGCTGCAGGGGCCTCTGAGGTGTGTCCTGGAGCCCCTGGTGGTAGCTGTTCCAGATATGTGTCCTGCAGCTCTGGGATGCTTGGGGACAGGAACTGGTCTTAAGTTGTCTTTGTCTACACTCCTCCTCTGCCCCCCTTTTCCTTGTTCTCCAGGTGAGCCTTAGTCCCCTCCCATTTCCCTACCATACCTTTGATGTGTCCCCAGGGCTCCCAGCCAGCTGCAGCAGGTACCAGTACCGAGGTGGGGGACCTCACTTCGGGTGCTCTGCTTTGTCCTCCTGGAGCTGTTTGGCTGCAGGTCTGCCACAGCTCTCCTCACTGTGGCAATGGTGGTAATTTGCCCTGGGGTGGAGCATAGGCGTTTCTGTGTTTTGTTATCAGAGCCTGGGGGCCTGGTTTTAGGGGGCTGGGCTTGTGAGATCCTGGCAAATGGAAGGGCAAGGGCGGGAAGCCTTGTCCGTTTGGTGTCTGGCCAGTTGGTTCTACTTCTCTGAGTCGGGTTCAGTTTTGTCACTGACTGGCCACGTGATTTTGCACGAGTCCTTCTCCCTCCCTGATCTGGAGTTTTCTTGTTCTCTGGGGGCCTCTTTTTCACATCTCTTCTTGCTGTTCTCTGTCTTTCGCAATTCTGTACATGTTTCACTCTGCTTCTGCCTCTGAGTCCTTTTTGTCTCGGTCTCTCCCTCTCTTTTGTTCGCTCTCTCCATCTCTCATCCTCTCTGTGTCCTTTTTCTCTTTCTCTCTGCTTCTCTCTCACTCCATTTCCCTGTAAGTCCTTCTTGGTCACTTTCTTCTCCAGATTTCTCCCTGTCTCTCTCTGTGTCCCTTCTATCTGTGAGTCAGACTGCTGCGGGCCAGACTGAGCCTGGCTGAGGTTGAAGGAAGAGGGATTGGGAGAAGGGCGGGGCAGCTGGAAACCATAGGAAAAAAGACCTTAGATTTGAGCGCTTCTCCCTTCCCACAAAGCACCTGCCGGCATGTGTCCTCTGGTCACCTGCTTCAGAATCTGGCCCCAGTTACCCAAGGCCTGGCAAGGTCAGAGGGCAGATTACGAAACCCAGAGCTGGGCCAGAGCTTCATGCCTAGGGCTACGGTGGGGGACAGAATCCTGAGGTCAAGAGTTTGAGAAGCCAAGTGGTGGCGTGATTGCCACCATGGGTCTGTAGGTGTGCAGCCTTGTTTGCTGTTCTCATGGGGGTGGGGGAGGAAGTGCTTGGAGGTCCTGGGAATTTGACACCCCAAGTCCCAAGCAGGGAGTGGGATAGAGGTGGGGCTGAGGTCATGCTGTTGTTCAAGTCCTGGAAAGGCCTGTTAGGGCAGGTCCTGGAAGAGGGGTGAAAGCTTATTATGGGATTATACACCTCTACTTTCCCTTGGCATCTACCCATACTTCTGGGGAAGGGTGCAGTACTGGATCTACCCCAACTCTGTGAATGACTTTTCCCTGACCCTAGAACTCGGCCGAAAGGGCCCATGAACGGTGTCACTGGAGAACCTGGGATTCATGAGAAGGAGAATTTTAAGAGGTGTTGAGTTATTCTTATGGTCTGACTTGCTTGCTTGTTACAGAGGGGACTGGGGGTAGGAGAGGGATGCATCGTAGTGTTTCTCTCTCGACATTTTCGACCTAATGGCTCATGTGAGCGTCTGTCCTGTATGTGACAGGATGTGTAACAGTGTACCTGGTTTTTACCCATTCCATGCAGAACCCTCCCATCCCCCTGCTGCAACCGAGTGTGACAAACAGACGATCAGTCAAAAAGTGACTGCCCATGGGGGAAGAAGCCAACTCGGTTCCCTCTAACAGGCTTCTTCTAGACTCCCCAACTCTTAGACCTTTCTGCTTGACTCAAACCTCTAAGACCCTTTTCTCCCCAGTAGCTCTTTGTTTTGCTTTGTTTGTTTTTAATTGCCAGAGGGCACATATGCTTGTCAGAGAGAGAAAGAGACAGAGGGAGAGGGAGAAAGTACCCCCTACTGGAGCGTGGTCATCATGATCCTTTCTCCTCCATTTCTCTGTCCCGTTGTGATTTGGGGAGTACACACATGTGCCTGGTATGTTTCTCAAGCCACCGGGACCAGGATGTGAACTGTGACAGGTCATGTGGGATCCCAACAATAGTCAAGCTGTGTGGGATCTGTCTCTTGACCGCTAGGCAATGGGACCAGCTCCCTATACACTCTGTGTTGAGGATCCTATTTCTTCTCTCACAGAGAAAGCAGTGGCAGTCAGCAGAGAGCTAGCTCACCCTCCACCATCCTGTCTGTCCACTTACCAGCATCTGGACTGCATATGCAGCCCTCTTGCCTTCATAAACCCTGTCTGGGCTCCAAGGAGGAGCTGACCTAAGCCAGGAGCCCATTTCTTTTCTTTCTTTTTTTCTTTTCTTTTCTTTTCTTTTCTTTTCTTTTCTTTTCTTTTCTTTTCTTTTCTTTTCTTTTCTTTTCTTTTCTTTCTTTCTTTCTTCCCTTCTTTCTTTCTTTCTTTCTTTCTTTCTTTCTTTCTTTCTTTCTTTCTTTCTTTCTTTCTTTCTTTCAAAACGCTTATCTATTTATTTCTTCTGAGAGACAGAACCTCCAATGGGATCTTGACTCTATGACCTATCCCCCATCTTCAACAAGCCAGGATCATAGACCTCAGGACACAAATTTAGGACCGCCCCATATGACGCCAGTACCACAGAGCTTTGGGTCACCTCTCTACCACCATGGCTGACTCAAATCCCATTTCTGACACAGACTGGGGGACTTTCTTCCTTTCACTGCATCCTGTTTTGTGTGAATGTGTGTAGATTTTGTGAATTGGGAAGCCCTTAGTACCAGAACAAGTTCTAAGAATTTCCACCTGATGGGACCAGCAGATAGTGTGATGGCTACGTTGCTGTAGTTGACCGTGGTTCGAGTCCCGGACCCAGTGGATTAAACTCACGCCAGGAGCATATGCATGCATGCCCAAGATCCCAAAAGGAGAATGGAGGAGAAGGGATTGCAGAGTGGCCATCCCCCCTCTGGGGGGGTGATTTCTTGCTTTCTGTCTCTCTATTTCTCTCTGACTTTCTGGTGAACTCACATGCTCTATAGCAAAAACCTCTCCATTAAAAAAAAAAAAAAGAATTCCCACTTGGGATTTCTATGTGGACAGAACATAGAAGTGAGGTACAAAGATTGCTTAATTGATCACAGCTCAGCCTTTTGCCTTATTTGAGTCAGTTGACTGCCTGCGGCTGTCTGGAGTTCAACTACCATAATTAACAGAGACTTGGCTGTTTCTTACAAATGTGTATAACCCAACTCCTGAGTCGGGTTGCAGTTCCTTAGGTCTGGACTCAGGTACAGAGGTGTCATCAGGTCAAACTTAATTTAATTTAATGAAACAGAACATTGAATTAAAAACAAATTAAAAACAAAATTTCAGTTAATTTCACGTTTTACATAAAGTCTCTATCATGATATATATACATCAATATCAACATATTATATATATATATATATATGATATACAGTGATTGAATGTAAAAATTATCTTTTGAAAAGAAAAATAGAATTATTTATTTAATTTTATTTATTCATTCATTTATTTTAATTTGACCAAAGACACACACACACACACACACACACACACACACACAGAGGGAAAGTGAGAAAGCAAGCCACCAGGTTCAGGACTTGAACTGTGGTTGGCCATGTGGGAGTGTCCAGTACCTTAACCACCATGCCACCTCCTGGTCCCCTTTACATTTTTTTAAAGAGAGATTTTTTTTTTAAAGAGGGATTTTTTGCTATAGGGCGTGCACACTTGCTGGAGAAATGGAGAGACAGAAAGCAAGAAATCATCCCCCAGAAGGGATGGCCAGGCTGCAACCCCTTTTCCACCATTCTCTTGGGATTTTCGGGCATGCACGCACTCGCACCTGGCATAAGTTTTAAGCCTCCGGGTCTGGGACTCAAACTGCAGTCTACTACATGAGAGTCTAGTGATGTAACCTGTTAGTCCTGGTCTTTACATTTTTTTTGTTTGTTAAATGTTTCTTCTCTTTGTTAGTCCAGTCCTGGTCTTTACATTTTTTTTTTTGTTTGTTAAATGTTTCTTCTCTTTGCATATCACACCCACTCTCTACCACTCACTGCTCTCCCCTACAGTCTCTGGTATCTACACTTATCCTCTCTATATTTTATCTTCAGATTTTTCAATTTCTGCTATAGAGTGCATATATTCTGTACATATTGAGTGGGGATATACAGTGTGTATCTTTCAAAGCCTGGCTTATTTTGCTCAACATTGAGTCTTCTATATTTATCCACTTTGAATCAAACCATAGGATCTCATTGTTTCTTATAACTGAGTAACATTCCATAGTACATATGTGCCACAGTTTTTCAATGCAGTCATTAGTTTTTGGACACTTAGATTGAGTCCAGTTGAGGATACTATACATGTTCTCATCAACAAATAATAATCCATTTCTGTGTCCCATAAATGTTTTGCCTCTCTATTTTTCTACTTAATATATTTCCTCACATTCTTCCTCCTCTCTCCCCCTCTTCCCACACTGTATCCAGTGTCCATACCATTTTCCATGCTTCTGTATTTTCTAATCTTCCCACCAACAGTGTAAGAGGGTTCCTTTTTCAGGGCCAGCAGGTGGCGTGGTGGTTAAGGGCACTGGACTCCCACATGGTTGACTGTGGTTCGAGTCTTGGACCTGGAGGCTTGCTTTTTCACTTTCTTTCTCTCTCTCACTGTTTCGCTCTGTCCCTCTCTGATAAAATTAAAATAAAGAAATAAAAGTTAAATAAAATAAATCTTTAAAAAAAAGAGGATTGGGAACCAGCAGTTGGCGTAATGGCTATGTCGCTGGACTCCCATGTAGTCGACTGCGGTTCTGGACCCGGTGGCTTAAAACTCACGCTGGGCGCGTGTGCGTGCATACCCATGATCCCGAGAGGAGAATGGAGGAGAAGGGATTGCGGCGTGACCATCTCCCCTGGGGGGTGATTTCTCGCTTTCTGTCTCTCTGTCTCTCTCTGCCTGTCTGGTGAGCGCACATGCCCTATAGTGAAAACCTCTCAAAAAAAAAAAAAAAAAGGATTCCCTTTTCACCAGAGCCTCATTAGCACTTCCCATTCTTTCTTTACATTTTTTGATCCTAGCCACTCTAACAGGTTAAATAGTATCTTATTATGGTTTTAATTTGCATTTCCTTTATGACAAGAGACTTTAAACACTTTTTCATAAGCCTTTTAGCTACTCACAAGCCTTTCTTGGAGAGTTGTCCATTCTATTCATTTGCTCATTTTTAAATTGGATTATTCATTTTTTTTTTTTTTTAATAAATGAGCTGGTTGAATTTCCTGTGTATTTTGATTATCAATC